TCTGATACGTTCTCAAATGTTCTCTTGCCCTCTGTGCCTTCAAACGTACTTTACGATATGTTTACCACAGCACAGACAGTCCGTGGCTCTTCAATGGCTTAACAATAAGCCTGCCTGTCATCGGTTCCGGCTAAAAGTTGAACAGATGTCGGAAGCACTTATTGGGCTTTTAGGTGCGCAGCGTTCGGAGCACATTACTTGACACAAGAATGGCGTCACAGAATGTCACGCACCGGTTTTTTAGACTTTCAAACAAGTTCCATTGGCTGATCTCTTGCAGTGTGCGCAACACAAAAGAAACCCAAATGATATGATGGTACTCACAAATGATAAGGCGGATAGTGACAAATTGGAGGCTGCAAGAATACCCAATTGTTCGGCAGCGGCGACATTTGAAAGGGGAATTACAATGCACTTGAATGGATGATGCAATATACCTGCAGTGTACTGTACAAAGTTATATTCAGTACATGTATATATAGAACATCTTCAAAGGATGTGCAACTCATGCAATATTCATATTTCAGGCAATTGGTCAAGCACAAGGTAGAACATATGTGCATGGGGAATTTAATTGAAGATGCATCATTTCAATATTTTATCGAGATGCTTTAAGAGGTTGGATGCCTTCTATATGGGATGAAGGACTTTAGTAACACATTTTTTCATTCATTATTCATGACATCGAAACACCCAAACACATATGCGGTAGGTGGTGACCGCATGCTGGTCATCGCACTGCCTTCAGACAGTTTGAATTCCATGCGACTTGATAATATTTGACTTTTTTTTTGAAGTTCCCAGCAGTGGATGGGGATTCTTTTGCGTTATTTGGCCATGTCATTGCAGTACAACTTTTTATTGCTTGTTTATGGAGTATCCCACTGGAGTCACAGTCCTGTAATAGTCGTCATGCGGATGACTAAGCAGAAATGTTGCTTCACTTCGGAGATGTTTAGCGCTGTGACTCGTTTTATTTTGATAGGTTACAATTTTGTGTTCAGGGTGAACACTGCCTCTCACCCAAAATCAGCTGGGATAGGATTTGGTTCCTTTATGAGGATTAGCAGTGCAGGAAATGGATGGATGGAATTGAGACTTGCAACTTCTTATTCTGTGCGTACTACAATTTGGGAATATAAGACATCGTGATATTTTTTTCTCTCCGAGTACAAGAAAAAGATCAGTCGGGAAGGAGGAAAATAAGAAGTGATAGTTTGTACCGAGACTGTGTGGATTTATGCCAGGTCGGGTGTGAAAGTGAAGCATCGCACCTCGTCTCTGCGCAGCCTGCGCCATACGTCTCACAACACGTTTCATAACCAAGTTTGTGTTGTGCGCAATACCAGCTGGGATGGAAGCACAGAGGAAGGCAGGGGCGGTGAGAGAGGTGAAGAACTTAATTAGTTTGCACCAGGCTGCTGACAAAGGACGCCCGATTCCTGATTCATTTCAGTAATGAGGGCAGACAAACAAGGAAGAGTGTTATTTGATTTTTGCTCACTTATTGCTTCAACATTCCTCTCATGGGATTAACAAACAACACTCATCTAAATTCTGATTGACAATTTGCTGTTTAGAACAAGAGAAGCATAGGTGATCATGTCAATTTTTTACGTTATATTATACTTTGTTTCCAAAGCTTTTTTATGATACCTTCAAGATCAGTTTTTAACGTTTCCCGGCAATTTACAACTGTGGTAAATGTGATATTTTACAATTGTTTTCATGCTCAAAATGACTGGGTATGTTCGATGGCACCTTTTGTTCCCCAGACCGACACCAGTAAGAGTATTCAACTATTGAGTGCTCACCGATACCAAACATCTGATAGCACTGAATCAGAAAATAGATTCAGTAAATATACAGAATTTTAAGAACCAAATCAAGAAACTGAAATGAAAGATTGAGTAGGAAGTGTGTCCGTTTAAACCCCCGGCAGCCGTGTACCAAATACGTTGCCATGGTGACGGCATCAGAAACCTGTCACCAAGCCACCCGACTGCGGCATATTAATGAAACGACACAGAAGGACAAAAAGGAAGAGGTAATGAGATGGGAGAAGAAGGCTACGGAAAGGATGCAATCGGAGGGTCAAAGCGGAATGATTAGTCGGTTACAGCTTGTTGTGATCTTCAAAAAAACGTGCCCTCATAAAGTAATCCAGTGGGCCTACATAAGTTGGGAAGGATGTATTTTTATGTGTCAAATTCACCTATACCTGCCAAGTAAGTAGGATTATGAAATAAAAAAGCCTGATTATAACATAACGCTTTGTAGTCATGGCAAAATGCAATCATTTCACTGTAGTTTTGTGTGTAGCGATACCCACGTGGCGGGAAAATTGTCCACGTGTAAAGATAATAACACTTGAGCTTTGAGATACTTTCCGACTAAATTCTCGTGGGAAATATAACATTGTTTTGCGATGCTCGCCATCGTCCTCCACTCCCACTCTTATCGCTGCTGACGCGTGAGCTGCCAACAAACCATATGCGAG